CCCAAATGGATGTAGACCGTTGATTGATGACCATCTTCCTCCTTTAGTTCCCCTCCTCAACAGAACAAGATTTCCATCACCCATTGCTGCTGCCAATGCAAGCGAGTGGAAATTGGATGAGTCTCACTATGTTATTGACTCCCAACAGATCAGGTACGAACCCTCTGATAAGACAATTGTCTTGTGCGATGATATTAGTTTTGGACTGGAATCGGTTCCCATAACCTGTGTGGTAGAGGACAACCTTCTTGGCTCCCTCCACATCCTTCCAGACGACTCTGATGGTCAAATCGCAGCAAGTTCTCTTCCTTGGGAAAGCTTTTCTTATGTGACAAAACCAGTTCTTGATCAATCAATGCACCTTGATGTCGGTGTAAGTTCATCTTCTTTCTCTTGATGACATTTTCATCCCTTCTCTCTGACTCTTTTGTTTCTCCCTTTCTAAGCAGAGTTCACAGTTAGGGTGTTCTTGTCCTGATTCCATGTGTTCTTCTCAAACTTGTGATCACACGTATCTTTTTGAGAATGACTATGAGGATGCAAGAGACATTCATGGCCAGCCAATGTGTGGTAGGTTCCCTTATGATGATAGAGGGAGAATCATATTGGAGGTAAATGTTATATATCGAGTTTGAGTTTCCATATTTTCTTTCCTTCCCATTTTTCTCTCTACATTTTCATTTTTTATGTCTATTTTCTTATACGCTTTCGTTTCCAAACAGACACTTTGTATACGAATTCCATTCGGTTACTTATCAACCTGATGTTGGTGCAGGAGGGATATGTAGTCTATGAGTGCAACCAGCGGTGTTGCTGTGGCAAATCTTGTCGGAACAGAGTTTTGCAGTATGGTGTCCGAGTGAAGCTTGAGATATTCAAAACTGAGACAAAGGTTACGCTTCCTATCATCTTGGAACTTCTAAATAGAAATCATGTTTTTCACTTTGTTTCCTTTTCCTATTTTTTGCCGTTTTTTTGAGAATCATGTTTGTGAATAGGGGTGGGCAGTTAGGGCTAGAGAAGCAATCCTGCGCGGTACTTTTGTGTGTGAGTTCATCGGTGAGGTAATCAGCGAGGAAGAGGCAAATAGGAGGCGCTGCGGGTCTGTATATTTTCTTCCCTTTTTGCCCCTTAAAGAGAGTTTTGCAATCTTGTTAGGCATTCCCCTTTGATGCTAATTCTTGTACGCGACGATAATGACTAGGTACGGGAAAGAAGGGCGTGCATATTTTTTGAAGATCGACGAACAAATCAATGATATGAGCAGACTGGTTGAGGGGGAATCTCATTATGTGATTGATGCCACTAACTATGGTAATGTTTCGCGATATATCAATCATAGGTGAGAAGGCTTTCTCCACTTCTAGTAGTTGACATGCTAAATTGATATGCCATGATGCAATTCATTTTATGTTCCAAATAGCATTCCAAAAACAAGGTTTAAAAAAAAATACGCGACTCAAAAGATTTTACAAAGAACATGACAATGATCATTGTTTTTATTTATAACATTGGTGCTTGTAGCTGCTCGCCGAATCTTGTGAATCACCAAGTGGTCGTGGAGAGCATGGATTATCGACTTACACACATTGGTCTTTTTGCTGGCCGAGATGTAAGTATATCTTTTCAATTGGATTATTTTTTGTGAAACAAGACATATATCGCGAGAATAACCCCACTCAACTGCTTTATATGCAGATACTTGCAGGTGAAGAATTGACTTTTGACTATCGCTACAAATCGTTCCCCGGAGAAGAAGAAGGGCTTCCATGTCTATGTGGATCTTCCAATTGCAGAGGTCGAATTTACTAATGAAGCCCCGTTTTTTTTTTCTTTCCATAATCGGTACGGGGTATAACTCGACTAGTTGTACATATGCCTCCTCCCTATCTGCCAGAACAAAAGAATGTATTTTTGGACTTTTAGGTTAGATTTGTTGAAGGATTTTTAAAATAAGGGACCCTTTTTTTTCATTCTTCTTTTTCTTTAATTCTCTGTATAACAACAGTAGCACTGATAAAGTGTACATTTCTTTCTTTCTTTCTTTTGCCTGAGTGTGATGAAGTTGCAGTGGCAGCCAAAAGTTAACAATGGATGGATTGATTCAGAGACATGTAATATGATTGTGTCAAGTCTCTCACAGGTGGTCCTAATTTGTTTTGATTGGAAATAAAAAGCTTTTCTGTCCAAGTCTGAGAAATTTAATCTTTTTGGATGCACTCACTGTTCATTTCCTGGAGATGGGTGATGCCACCCACCAGGTGGTCCTCACCTTTCACCACCACTACACAAAACAAATAAAGTTTCCTCCTTTCAATAAAAAAAAATGGATGGGTCCTATCATTAAAACAATCCTCTACGACTAGTTTATAGGCATTTTGTATCTAATACTTACATAGGGTCTTATGCTTTGCATGATACTGTCATTGCGTGGTTCCTCGAATTTTAATTAATCTCAATTTATATTATACTCCCTCCGTTCTTTTAAACACTTCCTATTTTGACTTTGAGCCAAAATAAAGAAAGTGTAATTTTGGTTGACTTTCCAATTTTGCCCCTGATGTGATGGGTAAAAGTTAGATGTGATAGTTTGTGAAAAAGTATGATGTGATATGTAGGGTATAAAAAAGTAGGGGTGAAAGTAGTTTTTTAATAGAAAGTAGTAGTATTTTAGGGAATTGAAAAAAAACGAAAAGGAAATAGTTTTATGGAACGGAGGGAGTATATTAATAAAATTATCAAGATAAATCTAATAAAATTATTTTATACTAATATACGGAGTACATTACATTTAGGTTTACGAAGTTTGGCTGAACTTATTTTTAATTCTCAAGTATAACTTATTTAAGAATTGAGATAGAAAAAAAATAAAAATTATACTCCGTATATTTCAAAAATAGATAAAAAAATCCTATGACACATAATGTGACATTACTATATTACTTTATCTGATGAGTAGCAAAAAAATTCAAAATAGTGTTTTAAAATATAAATAAATTGATATAAAATTTTTATTATAATTCAATACACTATTCCTGTAATTTTTGAAAACAATTTTAAAAAAGATTGAAAAAAACAAAAAGAAACGAAGTACACGATTTTTTATGGACTGAAAAGAGTAAAGAACAGGATCCAGTAAAAGAGAAATGAATTAAATGGAGTTTCTTCGGTACCATTTGGGTTGAAATTAAAAATAGCCCAACAAGACCATCTTCACCTATCCAGAGTTGGGGCCCACAAACAGTGTACCTTTGTTGTTTCCTGCAGTCCTTCTCGGCGTGCCCAAACAGCTGCAGCCCAGATTCAAAACACTTCCACGACTTGTCCAGTTGTCCTTCAACTATTCACTCCCGGTTTAATTTCGAGCAATGCTACAAATATGATACTTACAAACTTCACAAACTTACTATTTATGATTTAAATTTTCATTTTAAAATTATTTTAGACTATTTAATTTTATTTATTGAAATTCATAAATAGTAAGTTTGTAAAGTTTGTGACCATTTTGTTTGTGAGCCAAGCATTTTCCTTTAATTTTTGGCAAATTCTCATGTGGTCTTAATATTCATATTTATTTTATGGACTTTGGTGCATTGATATTATTAAAGATTTGGGTCTTTTGTTAAAAAGAAAATATCTACTTCCTAGCACATGGAAAAACAATTCTTGAATTTTATGATTTTCAAGTTTTGATAGCAGTGATTTTATTTTTGAAAAAATGGCTATTAGTTTAATTTATACTCCCTCCGTTGTCAAAAACACTTCCTCTTTCATTTTTTCCACTTCCAACAAAACACTTCCCCTTTCTATTAAAAAACACTTTTACTCTTACTTTTTCATACCCTACCTATCACATCATACTTTTTCTCTAATAATCAATCCATCACATCTTACTTTTACCCATCACATCAAGGACAAAATTAGAAGTCAACTATAATTTTACACTTCCTTAATTTGCCTTATTTTTAAAGTGGAAAGAGTTTTCCCAAACGGAGGGAGTAGTACGGATTAATCCACACCTCATTAATATTTTCTCAGTTTGTAGTTACTATTATAACACACTATCATGAAAGTACTACTCGATCTCTCAATTCTTTACTTTTTTCTTTTGAAATTTTTACTAAATACTCCGGCCGTCCCACTCTTTTTGTCCACTTTCATTTTTGCACACCATCCAATACACTTCTTTAATCCATTTTATCTTGTAATTTGTATATTAAAAAATTATAAAAATTATATATTAATAATCTATATGTTAAGACAAATCAAACAAGATCACACATGACTATTTTTAGATTTACACATTGAGAGAATTTGATGAGTCAAAGTGCTTAGATGAACAGTTCCAAAAGTCAAAACTGGACAAAAAGAGTGGGACAGAGGTAGTATAATACTAAAACATTCTCCCTTAGCTATGTCCCACAAAACTTTTCTGGTTTATTTTAAAGAGAATGTAGTTTGGTGTTAACTTTCCAAAATATATTTAGATGCGATGAGTAGATTAATAGTGAAAAAATGTTTTATGATGCCTATGTTAAAAATTACTAAGAATAAAAGTGATTTTTTAATAAAAATGAGAAAGAATTTTTGGGACAAATAAAAAAGAAATGAGAAAGATTTTGTGGGACGGATGGAATATATCTTTTTCCAATATAATAACCTAAAACTTTTTTCTTTCCTAAATAATAATGGAACAACATTCATTAGCGTTAGACATTTACTTTGAATTATATATGTCCAGTGACAGTAAATATTTACTTGAACAATGTCTAGTGAATATTGAACAGTATACTAAAGTGTGAAATCAAAACATATGGTACTTCATAAAAAAATGTACTATGTTTTTTTTTAAAAATGGAGAGAAGAATAGATTACGAGTACATATGTAGAGAACTGGCATATATAGGAACTAAGGGGCTGTTTGGCAACTTCTGAATAGGTAAATGCTGAACCAGTAAGAGGTCTGAACCATTAAGTGCTGAACCAGTAAGAGGACTAAGCCATTAAGAGCTAGTATATTGCTTAACTATTCAGAGGCAAATGTCTGATCAATTCAGATAAGAGGTCTTAACCATTCAGACTCTGTATAATACTTAACCATTCAGAGACAAATGTCTGAACCATTCAGACATCTGCTCACGAAATAAACAGTCTGAACCATTAAGTGCTGAACCATTCAGACATCTGAACCATTAAGAGGCTGAAACAAACGGCCCCTAAGACCATGCATTCTTTCCCGGTAAATTCCCATGGTGGCGGAGCCCCAAGGTGAGCGAGATGTCGCCGGAGCTGCCAGTTCCGAGCCTTACAAGGCCGTCGCCGGCCGCCACAGACCATCCAATAATTTGGCCGGCAGCTTCGAAATCTAGGAGGGGTGAAGGGTCACCACTCTCTTGGTCATTATTATTCATTTCACATTTTTTGTCGTCGTCCATTTCTGTTGTAACCACGGCTGATGAGGGTGGAGCAACCGCTGCAATGGGGGGCGGTGGCAGTGGCGGTGGGGCAGTATTGGCATTATCATCATAATTATTATGATGATTTCCAGCAGAGGTGTTAGGGCTGCTGTCCGTACTCTTTTCACCCTCTTCTTTGGCTTCCTGTTGATACATATCTTCTACCATGGGCTTCCACAGCCTAACCCTTGCATTGATGAACCAATTTGACACCTGCAAATTAATTGCCCCACATCATTATTCACAGTTTCACACATCAAACTTGATTCTCTTTTTACTACAAAGTAATTTTTTATTTAGTTTTTAATTATGTAATTTTTTATTTTTTAATTACATATATATCATTTTTCATATAAAATGATTTCAAAATTTTTCCACTCAAACATCGTAACGCGTAATGAGAATATATTTTTTGGACGGGGGAATTATAAAATATAAATTAAACTATTCAAAAGTACATAAAAGAATTATACTCCCTCCGTCCCGTAAAACATGACACTTTTGCTTTTTAAGAGGGATTTAAGAGGAGTGTATTTTGGTATTGAATTTCCAAAAATGTCCTTTGATGTGATGGGTAAAAGTATGATTTGATGGATAGATTATTAGTAAAAAAGTATGATGTGATAGGTAGGGTATGAAAAAGTAAGGGGTAAAAGTAACTTTTTAATAGAAATGAAAAGTGTTTTTTGGGACGGATAAAAAAAGAAAGGTGAAAGGTTTTATGGGACGGAGGGAGTACAAAACAAGAGATAACTATAATATTTTAGTGTATGTATTTGTATTATGTATAAATAAGATCAATCATTTTGGTATACTTCTCTAATGACCCTAAAAAAAATGAAGTGAGGGAGTAGTTGCAATTAACCAACGACACTACACTATTCCTAGCTGGCAGCTAGCTTAGCTAGCTCATGATGTCCCATCTATCCATCATCTCCTAAGATCTTATTAATTCATTCTACACTATTCTATTCTGTTCTAGACTGTGTATGTCCTTAGCTTCTTCCATCCCTTCAAACTCTTCCTCCAAACTAAACAAACCCACAGAGATTAAAACAGGAACACGACAACACTTTCTGGCCGGGCTCGTCTTGTTGTTACGGGGAGCACAAAATACTGGAGAAATTAAACCTAGCTAGCCAGCTGCCAGCTTTTATGTGTACGTACCTACAATGGTTATACATACATACTCCATCCGTCCCAAAAAGATTTACACATTTTGACTAAAGTTGAAATTAAGAGATGAATAATTTTGTGTTGATTTTTCAAAAATACCCTTGATGTAATGAGTAAAAGTAGGATGTGATGTGTAGATTATTAAGAAAAATGTATGATGTGATAGGTAAGGTTTGAAAAAGTAAGAGGTAAAAGTTGTTTTTTAATAGAAATGAGAAAGAGTTTGTGGGACGCAATTATTTTGAAACGTGTAAATCTTTTTGGGACGGAGAGAGTATGTATTAAGTTTTTCCAATTAATTTTATTTATATATTAGTATAGAAATAAAAAATAAATTAAAATATTAAAAAAGTACATAAAAAATTTTTTGAAATAAGAAATGTCAAGAATATTATATTTTGTCTAATAATCAACGAAAACGTGCAAATAAACAACATATTTTGTGACTGTTGAAAAAAAAATGTGACGAACACTTTGGTACGGAGGAAGAAGTATGTTGTCAAAAATCACAATTTAATGTATGTCGTGCTTATTTTGATCGAGGTTGGGGTGATTATTAATAAAGTGACAATTATTTAATGTGGCTGGGAAAAAAGGGGGATAATTAATTAAATAATTACCTGGCTGCGGGAGAGACCAGTCTGCCGAGCTAAGATTTTTTTATGTGCATCGCTAGGGTACCTGCATGCATCAAACATAACAGACCCATACATCAAAATCCCTTACCTTTTTTGTGTCAAAAANTTACCCCCCCCCCCCCCATTTGAATCCTTTTCGGTCCGTATTTTAATTTCTAATCGATTTTATTTTTAATTTAATTTATTTGATTATAAGTATACAATTAAAAAATAAAAATTATGCATTTAAAACATAGATCAAAAGATCTACAAATTTACAGATGAGATGATTATATTATATTATCAAATGTGTAATGAAAATAAAGAAACAAAGTGTATAAAGTTTGATCATGTGATGAATAGTTGATAGAATTTAGGATGTGTTAATTAGGATAATTGGATTGGGGCATTAGACCCTTAAGTTCAATGACATTAAAAGATTGAATTCAATCGACTACTTTGTTCAACTCAAGAGCTTATATACCGATTATTTTTCTATTCAACTTCCAATGTGAGATAGACTCTAACACTCCTCTTCAAGTGGACAACTGTCATTTTGAACCTAACTAGCAGTTGACCACTTGCAAATGGACTCTCATATCTTTGATTTTTTGAGCGGCAACACTTAATTAAATGACCACGAGTCGCTGAGTATAAACTTTCAGATGAGCAATCGTGTTAAATCAGCCACAGGCCATTGGAAATACATTCCCGACAAACAAGTGGACTAAAGATTAGGCCGCTAAAAATGAACGTTTAGATGAACACCTATATAAAAGAGGAGAGCTAAACCTGACTCTGATACCATGATAGAATTTAGGATGAGGTTATGAGAACTCGATTAGGCCATAAAACCCTTGAATTCAACTACATTTAAAAATTGAATCCAATCGAGTACTTAGTTCAACTCAAATTTTTATATACTAATTACTTTTCTATTCAAATTCCGTTGTCATATAAACTCTCCCAATAGTGTACGTAAAGATAATAAGTCAGAGGGAATGGATATGTTTTCTCTTTCTTATACTTTTAATTAAATATTACTCCCTCCATCCCTAAATATTTGTCATATTTGTATTCCAAGGTAAAATATCAAGTTTTTTCAATTCATTTTATTTACCTATTGGTATAAAAATAAAAACTAAAATTTACATATCAAAAAACTACATGAAAAGTTCTTCGAAATAAGAGGTGTCAAGAATATTTTATTTTATCAAATAACCAATGAAAACGTAGAAATAAACAAAAGTTTCCGCGACAGCTGAAAAAGCAAACGTTGCAAATAATTTGGGAGGGAGCTAGTAGTATCAATTACCAGTAGTATCAATTACCACATATATGGTCTCAGGTCTGCATGCATGCACCAAAAAAAGCATCATATATAAACATAATGCAGAAGTTAAAGAGGACATGCAGAAGGAGCTGAGGACAAGCATTCTCTCTCTCTCTCTCTCACTCACTCAAAGTTTTACTTTATTAAACACTCACTCGCCCTTCATTCACTCATTGCACCCAGATTCCGTTTTTTGTACCACACATACTCTATATGCACAAAAATGGACAAACCTCAAAATAATACTCCCTCCGTCCCAAATTATTTGTCACATTTCTATTATCGAGGCAAAATATCAAGTTTTTTCAATTCATTTTATTTACATATTGGTAAAGAAATAAAAAATAAAAATTACATATCAAAAAACTACATGAAAAGTTCTTCGAAATAAGAGGTGTCAAGAATATTTTATTTTATCAAATAACCAATGAAAACGTAAAAATAAACAAAAGTTCTCGCGACTGTTGAAAAAGCAAATGTGACAAATAATTTCGGACGGAGGGAGTACTCCGTATTAAATTTAAATAGCTTTTTTTTACTCACTCCTTAATCTATGTTCCTTACATTTTATGGCCTCAAAACTTTCAAATCCATAATAATCAATCATTACACATAGAGTCATAGAGATAGCTAATTGTAATATTGTACTCCCTCCGTTTGGAAAAACACTTCTCATTTGATTTGGAGGCAAAAATAAGGAAGTGTTAAATTATAGTTGATTTCCAATATAATTTTGCCCCTGATGTGATGGGTAAAAGTAAGATGTGATGGATAGATTATTAGAGAAAAAGTATGATGTGATATGTAGGGTATGAAAAAGTAAGAGCAAAAGTGGTTTTTTAATAGAAATGGGAAGTGTTTTGTTGGAAGTGAAAAAAATGAAAGAGGAAGTGTTTTTGAGAAACGGATGAAGTATAAATGAATGCAATGGTCATAAGAGCATTCACAATGACAAGTAAGAAATAAAATGACACACGATGACATGGAAAGTTTCAACCAATAAAAAACAGTCTAGTCAGCGTGTGGCATGAGAGTGAAGTGGCATGTTATGCAGTGGCAAGTAATTGTTTTTATCAATTTTACTTTTTTTTTACACATTTTAATTTTAATTGTTTAAATTTATTCTAGTTATATTTTTTCAAATAAAAAAATAAAAATATTTAAAAATTATTTAAATTATTTAAATTTATTTTGTTTATATTTTTATAAACTATACTCTTTTTTAAAAATATTTCTTATTTAAAAAATAAACTAAAAAAATAAAAAAAATTACATTTTTTTTTTCAAATTTTACATTTTTTTACATGTCTTATTTTTACTACAAAGTATTAAAAATGAATTTACTTAGGTTTTTTCCAAAAAATATATCTACCTTTTAAAAATCTTCTATTTTATGGAGGAAAAAAGAAAAGAAAACAAAAATAGTTGCGTGACTTGCCTCGCCCATTACTTGCCATGCATGTCAAATTTCTACATTTTTGCGAGACATTTTGCTTGCTTGGCTTATGTGGCAGACGTGGCAGTGGCACAACCACGCCAATGCTCTAAGAATGAACTTTTGTGGGGTATCTATAATCTATATATGGATCCCATCCCAAGAGAGAGAAAAGTATAAAGCGGTAATAATTAAGAGGCATGACTCTTTCACTTTTTATATAGTGACCTTTTTTTATTTTACAATGTGTCAAGAAAACATCAAAATTACTTATATTTTCTTCCCTCTTAAATAAACTTAAGTTGCCATATTCATTATCTTTTCCATCATCTCCGATGGAGCCAAAATTTCACCATTTTTGGCTTTGGGGTGTGATGGAATAAATCAAAATGGATCTCTAAACTGTCTGCGCTTCTTTGATTAATGAAGTAGCATGCAGTTAGTTAAGCAATGCAACTTTCGATGTTGAGCCGGGGGTCTCTTTGGAAACAGCCTCTCTACTTTCGAGTAGGGGTAAGGTCTGCGTACACACACCCTTTCCAGACCCTGCTCTTGTGGGATTTAACTTGGTTGTTGTTGTTGCCATATTCATTATCCTAATTCATAAATAATACTCACTCTCTCCTGAAACTCATTCCTCTTTCTTTTTTTACTTGTGCTATAAAATCATTCTATTTTTATTAAAAAAATTACTTTTATCCCTATTAATTATATTCTTAACTTTACCATTACATGATACCTTTTTGCTAATTTGTTTAATTTACTCATCATATCCTACTTTTATTCGCCACATCAAGACGGGGTAAGTATATTATGTACTACTTCATCCGTCCCAGAGTATTTATGTACAATGTTCAGAAGTGATGGTTCAATTTAACTTTTTTTGAATCGAAATGAGAAGACAAAACATTATAAATGAAGGGATAGTAGTAGTTTTTGGAAGGGACTTACGGATGGAGAAAATGCTGAAAGAGCCAAGACCTCAAAACGTTAACAGAACGTTCAGGCAAGCCTCTTTGGGGTCTCCAGCACCCTTCCTGCTGCCCATGCCCCATTTGATGGTGAACTAACGCCGCCGCCCTTTGTTGTCTTAAGCTTCGTTCCAGGATTTTAAGCCTCGGCGTCTCTCCTTTAGACACGGAAGCAGAATCGTCATCATCTTCTTTCTCTCCCAATAGCTCACGGCTGTGCCTCAGCTGTGCGGCTATTGCGTCCTTTAGGCACCTGAAGTGCCGGGACATTGCCCCATGGGCGAGGGACGTGTACGTTTTCGAAGCTCCGGTTCCCATTATCGAATCAAATGAGTTCGCTACCATTTGCATTTGCTCGCAGTAGTGCCCATATTTTTTGTCCGCCTGATATTTAATTGATGATTAAAGTCCATCTCATTTACGAGGAATCTACCTAAATAGAGGAATAAAACATAATGACTTTCTCAATATATGATTATATGTTTTAATTTTCCAATGATCATTGATCATTATCCATTAGTCATTGTTCAAATAAATGTCAACCATCACTAGACATTATTCTCCCACCAAACATTATTAAGTCATATTTAGATATTAAAAAACTTTAAGTCCTACATTGAAAAATAACTTATCTTTTAATCAAATTTTGACTCAAAAGTCAAAATTAACTTGGGGGTGCAATTGAAGGAGGTGGCGGGATGTGTTCGGGTCGGCGCGTGGTGGAGGAGTTTGCCGGAGGATTAGGGGGGAATAGGACCCGACAATTTCACAAACGTGGCACCGGAACACCCTCGGGTCATCACATGATATTGATTCCTAATGTCATGGAAACTGGCCTTAGATAGTTTACAAAAAAAATCAAAACTCCAGAATACTCCGGGTATATATTTAAGAGTACTATGCACTACTCCAATGATTACACCTACCCTAATTCTTGAGAGGCAATCAAAATTTAATAACTCAAGTTTAGATTATTACCAAGTATATTTCCCTTGAAATGTAAATGTAAATGATGAAATTAATGGTGGAAGAAGATTACACTATTGTGCATACCTCGTCAAGCATGGATAAGAGTTTGACTTTTCTTCGCCGGTGCTCTATTCGATCGGAGGACGACAACGGCGGCGGAGACATGCTGGTGGTGTTATTATTAGGAGTCGGGTTTTGTTCGGCGGATGGGGTAATTAATTCTCCGGTCACCGTGAATTGGCCCCGCTGCCCAACACTGCCGCAGAACTCTTCCAACAACTCTTGTGCCGCCTTGGCGTATTTCGAATTCCTGAGCGCGTTGACCACTCCCACGCCGGCCGGTTGATCATGCCACCCTGTGAGGATATGGCGGTGTCCTCCTCCGCCCAATCCGCCGCCGCCTTGGCTGAATAGTAACATTCCGCCGTGTTCCCGGAACTTCTCCGCCACTTCAAGGTTGTGTAAGGACGGGGACAACGACAATGACAGTCCCCGTCCTTCCACAACATTACCGCCTCCGATTCCCGGAGCGGAGTTTGTGAAATGACCGAAATGCCCTCCCGGCTGCGCGGGATGATCATAGCCTTGGAGAGCGGCAGGCGGCGGCGGGTTCATAACTAAAAGCTGCATGTCTGCCGCCGCCGCAGCGTAAACGCCCGATAAGTGTTGCTGTTTGCAGTCGCCGCCACCGCCCGTCACCGTCTCTTGTCGGCCGGGAAACCACTCCGGCGGCCGAATCCGGCACGTCTCCAGCAATTCAGCAGGCGAGAAATTGAACATTTCGGACAGCATCCCGGTGGTCTCGTAAGCCGCCTGCTGCCGGTGATGTTCTCCTTCATCTTCTTGTTCTTGAAAGGGCGGCGCCGAATCAAACCCTTGAACCCTCAGTTTCTCTCTCGGAACATGTTGAGTCATGTCGGATTGAGAAATCGAGAAATAATCTCCAGACATATAAAAAGACTTTTTTTCTTTTGGGCAAAAAATTAAAAAGGAAACCAGAGAATTTGCAATAATATTTGTGACGGCGTTGCTAGTGACATAGCCATATAAATATTCTCTCTCTATCTCCGGGGGGAAAGGAGAGGATTGATGAGGAAGAAGATTGTACTCTACTTCAATTGATTGTCAGTGTCATATTTTAGGTGGAATGCCCACCCGGCGCCACCACACTCTGGCCCATAAATTGTGAGATTGTTTGTATAATCTTAATCTGATCCTTAGAGATGTCGTCCCGTGTCTAGTACCGCACATGAGATTTTTGTAAATAATAGAACTCAGAAACTGTCGCTATAGGATTAACGAGTTTGGCATCCTCTCTTTGAATCAGTTGAGCTAACCATGCGGGTCGTGAGTGTCATACTCTGTAGATTAGATTGGAGAATTTAGCTAAATATGATTAAAATATACTCCCTCTGTCCGGAAATATTCTTCTCGTGTTGACTTAACACGCTTATTAAGAAATAGTAAAAAAATGCAAAATTTTCAAAAATGCACATACTATAAACTTTTAAATCTCCTTTTATTATTAAAAAAGTACTAAAAATGTAGATTTGTCATAAAATAGAAGGGTATTATTGATATTTATCCTTAAAAAGTATACTAAAAAATGATATGGGAAGAATATTTCTGGACGGACCAAAAAGGAAAGTGGGAAGAATATTTCCGACGGAGGGAGTAATGATTTTCTCAATTTAGGACCATATGTGTTTATTTTTCAATGTTTTGATTTTTTTAGTCAAACAATGATATTTTTCTACTATAAATTGTGAGCAAACTGTATTGAATTATAATATTAATTAAACACAATTGGGTTCATCTTACTATACAGTTTTGATATACTCCCTCCATCCCTAAAAAATTATAATCTATTTAGGGACGAGAAAGTAATAAAAAAATTGTAATCAGATCATATCATATCAAAATTTATTTTAATCAATTCAAGACCATTCATATTTAGGTGAAGATAAAATGACCATACTCTCTAGTCTCTAGCGTCAATTAGGGGTGAGCGTGGTACGGTATGGTACGGTATTTAGCTCGATACCGTACCAAATATTTCAGTTCAGTATGAGATTTTACGTTGTACCGATCCCGTTCCGAAGCATCGGCTCGGTATGGTTCGGGATGGTTCGGTATCGGTTTCGGTACAAATCGGGATGAATATATACGTACTTAGTTTACATCATAAAATGTAACAAAACCTTTTATTTTAGAAAATTATTAAAAGTACATTTAACCAAAGAAAAATAAAAAATTAAAAAATGAAAAAATAAAATACAAGTAATGTTTATGAAAGTTAGTTTATATTTCACATACTAATTAAGGAGAACGAGTGATAATAAAGTATTATTTCAAATATTTTTTAATATTATTATACTCATCTACAAAAAATAAAAAACTCTTATTAAAGTGCAACTTAAACATAATGAAATTAAACTAAATTGTCTATATAAATTTTTTTATTTAATGAAGAAATATAAAAACATTATTATTTTTATAATATATTAGTATATATAATTGGTTCGGGAATTTCGGTATGGGAAGTAATCTCGTACCGTTTCCAAATACCGGACCGACCGTTCGGTTCGGTACGGTTCAGTTTCTTTTCGGTACTTTATCGGTTCGGTATTTTTTGGTTCGATATTCTCAGTTTTTTCGGGAAATATCGGGATCGGTTCGGTCATGCTCACTCCTAGCGTTAGTTTTGCGCTTTTATTTTGAAAAAAAAAGTTTTACTCCGTAAAAGCTAACTGAATAAAATGTTTTAATGAAAGCCCAAAATTGAATGAAGTCGCCAAACGAGGGCGGGCAGAAAGAAGCACAAATAACTCGGCTGGGAAGGCCCATAACCCTTCTGATCGTTTAAAGCCCAATTACAAGTGCCACTTAACAAAAGAGTGATTTGCTTACAAGTTTCAATTCGTAAGAGCATCTCCAATGGAGATGGTAAAAAGTGTATATTGTTGAATATACACTTTATACACTACACTATACACATTTTAACCCCTCCAATGGATAGTGTAAATAATGCACTATAGTCCAAAATACAATTCTCAACTTCTATATATACACTCTCCCATTCACATCTTGTAAAAAGTTCATTACTAAAATAATGCATGATTAATTTTGTTTGTTTTGCTTATCCTATATAATTATTTAAAATATCTACTATTAGTAAATTATTATTACTCTTTCAATTACTTTTATAAACAAATTTTTTACTAAAATGTTTTAGTACGTTACTAATTTTTAATAATATTTTCATTCACTAATTTTTTTATTTCAAGTTTCTTAATACTCTATAACCATAGTTTAAAATATATGTGTCATTAAAAATTTTAAAACTATATATATTATCACAACTAAATAACTTAAAATATTAAAATAAAATAGAATTGTATTATATAGAAGATATGGTTGGAGTGGATATAAAAAAGTGGATGTGTAAAACACTATTGGTAGTGTAAAACTAAATATAGCCTACCCATTTTTACACTTTCCATTGTAGATGCTCTAATACCCCTGAGTATATGATTGAAAAATTCTAAAAAAAGTATTTAGTGCTTTGTAGTATCAAGTATGTATATTTAAATATAAAAAAGTGTTGAGAAAGATTTAAAATGATGATTATTAATTGCAATAGCAAGGCCAAACTCGGATTATATATATACCTCAAACTTTGGTGAGTTTTTGTCTTTGGAATGAACAATATACTACGGAGTATATATAGTGAAATTTGCACTGAATAGAACTAAAATCTAAAAAAATTATATGACTTCAAAATATAAATTAATACTAATATATGAGGAGATCTGAAAGGATAGTTGTTAGTGAAATTATATACTCGAGTATATTTCTAGGGCACAATATATAATTAAAAGAGATTATTTAAAGATTGATTTGATGAATTTCTTCACTTTGCCCTCCTTCCCCTTGGTCTTCTTTGCAGCCTCTTCCTCCCCTTTAGCGGTGAATTTGTTACTTTCCATACATTTTGGCCGCATTAATTTTGAACGTCTGTGAGTACACGGAACAGCAGCGTCGTCATTTTCTTCGTCGTTCTTGTCCTCTAGGGTTGAGCGACGACTGAGAAACTCCATCTCCGCCACCGCTCGAACTGAATCGTTGCGTTTGTGGGCAGACATGAGCTGCGGGGTCGCCGTCACAGCCGTGATTTCGTCGTCGTCGTCCAAAGGCACGGAGGAAAAGCTGGCATAAGTCGTCAAACTCGTCATTGGCGGCGGCGGCGGCATTTTGAGTATGTGCGAGTTTTTATTTTCGTCATCCATAGTTCTGATTTCATCGTCGATTACTCCTTTTTTTTTTCTTTCTCTCGAGGTTTTATATATACGTGCTGCATGCATGCTACTATTAACTTCTGGCCATGTCCCAAAATTTACCTCTCATTCTTTTTTAAATGTGAAGAATGCATGATTTGTTACGGAGTATTAAATGTGAAGAATGATTTTAAAAGCTAGCAAAATTCTCCATTGTTTTTAAATGTTAGACAATAATATTAAATATATTTGCACCAAATAGCACAAAAACTTGAATGATTTTCTTAAATAGCATTAAAATATTTTTATTCTCTAAATAGCATTTAATAATATCCAGAAGGATAAATAATGTTTAGTGTTGGTGAATAATTACTTTAACTAATGGATAATGACTAAAAGTGATACATTGGAGAAAAAAGACATATGATACTATTTAGAGATGGTCATTATGTTTTAGTATTATTTAAGTAAATTCTCTACAATATTAAATATTTCTATTTATGTTAGACAATAATATTAAGTATTTCTATTTAATGTTATATTCCGTAAGTCCGTATGTTATATTCTCTCCGTTCCTGAAAATATTTCTCCTTTTTTTCATCCGTCTCAAAAAGCACTACTTTGTTCTATTAAAAAATCACTTTTACCCCTTACTTTTTTTATACCAACCTATCACATCATACATTTTTACTAATAATTTACCCATCAAATATGTGTGTGTGTGTGGATACATGTAAAAATTAAATCTTTAGTATTTGAAGTATTAAATTTTACTTTAATATAATTCATCAAAAATTAATTATACTGTACAACTTTTTAATCATTTTTACTTTTGATTTTCTCATTTCATTTATTTTGTTTTTTTTTTTAATTTTAAATTTATTTTTTTATCTTTTATTTTTAATTTCTTTACCTTTTATTTTTATATTTTTACATATATTATTGTTATTTTTCAGGAAAATTGATAAAAAAAATTAATTTTTCTAATAGCCTAGTCAAAAAGGTACACCCATTGACTTTTCAGTTTTTGGCTTTTTAGATCAAACAACCAAATGAAAGAGTCATTAGCCAAACATTGTTTTTGACTCTTCAATTAGCTAGTCATAAAGCCAAAGCCAATCAAGAAAGTCAAAAGCTATCCAAAAAGTTGTTTTTCTAAACACAACCACAATAATTAAAGAAGCAAATATAGAAAAAATTATACCCTAACATTCAATATATCCTAATATCAATTTGAACAATTGTTTGAAAGAGCTAAATTGCCTGTTTCGGTATGCGATGTTTAATTGAAATTATTTTCAAATTGTTTTATATGAAAAATATTGTAAAATTTAAAAATAAAATTTACATTTTTAAAAATTAGATCAAAAGATTTACAGAACTAGTAGTGACATGATTATGTTATTTTATCAAACGACTAACGAAAATAAAGAATAAAAATTAATGAAGTTTGATTGTCTAAATAGTAAACAAGCAGTTAAATTTGAGACGGAGGAAATATTTTTTATTCAAAATGAGACATGAGACATAATTTTAAATATAATTAAAGTCACATAAGATCAAAAGTTAGTCGAATCAGATCAAAATCAATCAGATAAATTAAAGAGAACTTTTTTTGAATATAGCCTAATTAATTTGTATAGAATGTCATAAAACAAAGTGAAATTTTAATTTTTTTAAATTAATTTTATTTAAAGATAAGTATAGATTTCAAATATAAATTTATCCATTTAAAAATAACA